AGAGAAATAATAATTTTAAACACTTAAAATAAGAAGAAAAGAGTATTCTTATTTAGCCCTTAAAGAGAAGTAGCACACGCATGCACAGGCAGAAACTCATCTTCATATGTAACCAGGAAAATACTAGGTTTTAAGATTTGAAGTTAAGACATTTAATTACATTTCAGTTAGCTGTAGGTGGTCTGAAGTTTATTTTGCATCATGGATCCATTTTTCAAAGTCCTGTCAAGGAATACAGTTCATGGTCTTAAACTCTCCTATGTTTTTGATTGCCGTATGCCCATGGTTAGCCCTTATTAAACACTAGAGACAATAGTCCCAGTATTGACAGTGTGAGGGAGTTCCAGTTCTGTGTACAAAACTAAGAAATATGGTGTTAGATCCTAGAAGTAAAATAAATACAGTTCAAAGATATATAGATGTGCTATATTTTTGAATGGTTCTGTTTTGGACTTCTTTAAAATTCAGGAATTTCATAGAAACTTTACTTGGGAAACATTTTAAATATTTTAAAATCATGCTGTGTGTATTTTTCTGTATTCAATTAAAGCAGGCCTGTACAAATCATGCTGTTGCTCCTCGACCATCTAAGCTCTTCGAGGAAAGGATGGTGCTCTCAATCCTTTAATTTTTAATGCTTGACTGGTAGGGTAAGAATTTCTTCTAGAAATTGAGGAATGATTGTTTTAGGAAAGATTATTAAATAAAAATAATAATAAAGTATCTACTTTATTCCTGATTGTTGTTTAGCAAGAAGGTGGAATAGTCTTTGCCTGAGTTATAGTGCTGTATGTTGTTTCCTGTGGTTGAAAGATACACTGGGCATCAGCTGCTAGGAAATGCACACAGGGTTATGGGTTGGCTCTCAGGAAAAATATCAGTGGTTTTGGTGCCTCGATCAGATTAGAGGAAAAGAATGTTAGCCTTTTTCTATGGCTATCATTGTTGTTTATAGATTTGAGGGAGGGTACCTTAAATTTTTACTGAAATATTATTTGTCAAAATACTGCAACTTACACATGTAATTTTCACATTTATAGCTGAATCTCTTACCTACCTCTCTGGGGTTTTTACTGCATTTTAAAGTTTTGCCAAGATTTAGTGGCTAGAATTTAGTGAAAATAAAATTTCTGCCTAAAGGAAATTGGCTGCAAAGAGAAGCTGGAGCTTCATTATCTCATGTAGAACAAAAATTCTAGAAACGGGTTAGAAACATTGAAGCAACTGTTTTACATTTTTCTCTGTAACTGACACTTTCCTTAAATGGTACGCCTAGCTGGTTTCAGCTGAGCATGTTTGGGAGTGAGTTGGAAGGGACAGAGCCCTTCAGGCCTAGGGAACCACGGCACCGGCACGGAGCCCCTGCACCCATGTTGCTCGGTTGGATACTGGGGTTGTGGCAACCTGGCCTCCACCAGGTAGCACATACAATGTGTAGCCTGGGCAGCTAAGGTTTATTTTGCAATAAATATGAGCAAAGAAGGGTTTTTCAACACTGCCAACTGGAGAAAGTAATATGAGTTCTAGTTGGCAATTGACTAGCCTTTAAACAGAAATTCTCTTAAAAAACTAACCTCAAGTAGGCCTCTTTTTTTTTTTTTTTTTTTTTTTTCCCTTGTAGCAGAAAGGTTTCTTGTACCACAGACATGCTCTGCATTGTAAGAAGTTATTCAGTGAAAATTAAATACATGCTAATCAGGCCTGAAATTACATGGCCATACCTGTGCACAGAGGTTGGCACACATGGATCTGACTTTTGTAGGATTGAGTGGATCAAACATCTGGATGTTCGGAATCTGGCTGGAGCACAGCCAGCTTTTGCTCTTTTGGGAAGGTGTACAAGCTTAACCACAAGCGCCGCGCAGATTTCGATTAGAGCTGGCTCAAGTTCTTATTCCAGCTTGGAGCACAAGTAAGGTGACCTGAAGTCTGTTTACACAAGCATCTAATTGTATTTAAAGATTTGCAAACTGTTCTAAGGAAAACCAGTACAGGCTAGCAAGTGGAAATCCTAACACAAGCAGAGCCACAGAATTTTGCATTTGTTAAGGCACCATCCATTGCTGATTAACAAGCTTTGGGCAGTAAAATACCATGTCAGAGCTCGTTGATTCTGTGCTTCATATATAACATAAAGTACTTGGTGTGGATAAATTAATGTTGCATAGATTTTGAAGATTAATAGGTCAATAGGAGCTTAATCTTAGGATTAAGTAAGAGGAGGTAAGTTCCACTTTTAAAAATTAACTTTGAAGACATTGATGTCCATGTGGGTTGTGAGCTTCACAGGAAGTCAGTGTTGTAGTCATTTGTATTATCATTGGGCAATGCAAATCAATGCCAAAAATTTCCTAGCTCAGGAAAGTGTATTACTGTCTGTGTAAAAATATATCTAGTACTTTTTTTCATGTTTTGCATGTGAAGAAGAACTTCCTGTAACAGTATTTGCTGGCAGTAATTCATAAAATTCTGGCAAATCCAGGTTTTCTATGGGGACATCCAACAATCCCTTTTTGATAACCTATTTTCACTTAAACCAGTTAGTTTCTGTGGTCTCAAAGGATGGATATTTCTACTTCTTATTTTTGACACCAAATTCAAGCGTCCAGGTTAGTCACTTGGGTGCATTCAGAACTCTGAATTTTGGTGGGCAGAGATGCTTTCTGGCAATTCCTACATCTCTCTGTTGACTCTGGAGGGTTGGCAGACTCTAACTTATGTAATGTGAAGTGATGCAAATGTTATAAATTATCCTCTTTCAGATCAGGAAAGCGAAATGATTTAGTTGAAGACTTGTGTGAAAGATGACAGTAGTATGAAGGCTCAGGACCTTGGGAAAGGAGGGAGACAAGACAAGCACACCATCATTCCAGGTGGCTTTGTTTACTGGAGAAAAACGCCATGCTCAGAGAAAACCACAGTCTCTTGGAGAATTCCCTGGATGCCCAGAGGCTTGCAGAGGGCTGTAGAGGAGCACAGCTGTACAGTTCCAGAGAGGCTCTTCCACCCCCAGAAAGTTCACCAGTCAGGCAAATAGACATCTTGTTTTCTGAGTATTTCTTATGCTGTTGTATGGAAGATGGCATAGCATTACTCTGTCATAAAGTGGTTACATACGGCACATAATATATCCCCTCTGCCTATTTGTGACCTCTGATAAGGCAAACAGGTCCCCATAGTCTTCATTAGCTCTTGCTTCTGTCAGCAGAGCCTTGAACCAGTGGGATGTTGTGGAAGTCAGCACCGATGCTGTGACAAAGCAGTTGAGAGGCTGGAAGGTGGGTAAGGACCTGTGGGGGACTGGCATCCTGGGAAGGTTGCAGCACCTGACCCTGACCAGGGAGAGCAGCCTGGTCACCAGCAAGATAGCAGGTGCTCATCCAGGTTTGCAAACTAGTGCGTAAAATGTGTTTAGTTCCAAACTTTGAACATGATCTGGAGAAAGAAATTGTTTTCCGAATATAGATGAAGCCTGAAAGCAAAAGATGTTTCTGTGCTTTGCACAGAGTCTAGAAATTCTGACTATTGTGTTGAGTGAAGCCAATTACAAGAAGCCTAGAAGTGCCTGTTAGGAGGAGTGTAGCCAAATGTGTAAAGACTACCCCTCAGCATCTTAATTGTTTTGTCATTATTATAAGTGGTTTGCCATCATGTTTGGTTTGGTGTTTTTTTCCTGAAGCTCAGAGCTGTTATGAAATAGTTATGTAATGTCCAAGGATGGATATCTGCTGACATTTGAAAACTATTCAGTGAGAAGTATGGTGGTGAAAAATGAGAGCTATCTCTTTAACATATGTTGACTGTAAGACAGGAGACAGATTGTGGAGAAGTTATTTCAACCTTTCTTAAGAATAGTCTAAATTTTTAAAAAGCCACATCTTACGCATGCAGAAGATATACTGGGAAACCTGCCTGATGTGTGTATTCCCATTTTCACACAAATGAATATTTAATGTTCCCCACTGTAAGCATGTAAAAATTGCACAACTTGCAAATTAATATTATTTAATGTTGAATACAGCTTTCAATTTCTTTTCCCTGTGTTTTGCACCATTAAAAATTGTGCTCCCTAGACTTAGTCTACAGTTGAAAATACTCAGATTTCCTATGAATGAAAAAACTTGTGCGATTCCAGGAGACTCGCAAGCGAAGCTTTTACATAAACCATGCTGAGAGCTGGTGACCGTGACTTTGTGACTCTCCTTCCAGCTGTCTTTGGGGTTGGGAGAGTGAGCGCACTGCTAGATAAGGATCTGCTAGTGCTGGTTGTTCTGTCCCTTTATTCCTGGAAAGGTTAAATGCATTTGGTTCATTCCACAGCCCGGTTTGGGTAAGTATAATGCAATCGTGTTCATACACAATGAGAATTCCACTTCTTCAGTCTGATTTTTTTTCAAAGGAGGAAAATAAGACTTTCTCCCTTCACACCCCCAATAATAAAATAATAATTTATTCAGTAGCTTTTGCAAGTAACCTCCCTGCTTAGAAAGTTGCTTAGCTGAAAGATTACTGATGATTAGATTACAGCTGGTTATGTTTGCTGTGATGATGGTAGTACTCCATCTTAGTAACAGGGGAAGAACTGCAGAGTAGTCACTGTTCTTTTTTTACACATGGTTGTGGTAAATTAAAAAAATATATCTGCCTTCTGATCTTTACTTCTGAACATATTGTTTATAGCATTTTAACATAAAGTGTATATTTAAATAGGAAAGGCGATGCATTAAAAAGCTGTGAAAAGGCATGCTGGAGCAATTATTGCCATTTAAAAGAACCAAAACAAACACACTTTTCAACTGACATGAAAAAGTACTTTCAGTAGAATAAGCCAGTACATTATGGCACTTTTCTTAACAGGAAGTAAAAGGGAGTAGTGGTTAGAAAACACTGCACACAGGAAGCTCGACAGACACATCGCATCGCTCGTAGTGGCTCGGGGTTGTCCAGCTCCCCTTGGTTATTGTCTCGTTTGCTTTTGTGAAAGTCACGGGCGTGTATCGATGGCAGCTCAGAAGGAGGTACCGTGTAACCAGTGCCCAGGGACAGCCACGGCCCTGCAGAGGCTGGAGGGCTTTGCCAGCCGCCTCTTCCACCGACACTCGAAGGGCGGTGCACAGGAGCAGAGAGCAGCTCCGGAGGGCGAGGGCCAGCACTGCGCCCAGCTCACCGGCCTATGGGACAAGTCCAGTAAGTATGGGGCAGGTCGTTCTCTAGGGGCTTGCTCTTCACTTGGCCTAGTAAGTAAAGAGCTTAGATGTTTGTAATCAAATAGGAACACTGATCTGTGATACGTTCTGGGGCCAGTTTTACAGTTCATTACCAAAAGGTATGAATATGAAGGAGAGCATGTTTTATCAGGCAGGGGAGGTGGGGGGCTGGTTCATGGACTGGTGGCAGCAGGAGAATTTGTCCTTTGTCCCTTCTTTTCTCTTAAAGCACAAATTACTTGTTTGGGCAAGCCCCCACCCTCATTTTTACTTCTAAATTACTTCCTTTATTTTCAAATTAAATCAGCTAGTTCAGCAGAAATAGAAAAGTCGTTAAACTTTGGAACCAGCAGACATTGCTGCTTTTTATCATGCATCATTTTCTTTTAAGGCATATATATATATCAGAAAGCTCTATAACAGTGTTCAACTATAAAATTTTGTTTTATTTTAACCATTGCATATTAATTTAGTGTGGGAATGCTTAATTATTAGCTTTAATTTCTTAATTAGTGAATGGTTTACAGTATTATCTGTACGGTTTAGAACTTTTTGTGATTGCATTTTGGATAATAAAAGTGAGAGATTCATAAAACAAAACAATCTAAGTAAATTGGCATTTGATTTTAAGGTGTTTTTAAAGCCATACATTATTTTGCAAAGCAATTATTGTCTCTGGTTAAATACTCACTTTAAAATGTGGCAGTATGGTAATTGATGACAGTTGTTCCAGAGTTCATGTTCATTGATGGATTTGAGGTAGCACAATTATTTGAGCTGAAAATAGGCCTTACTGGAAATGCTTAGCATCACAGTGTTGCCATGAAGAAAATCAGTGTTTATACATCTCCCTGCTTGCAATTTAAAATATGAGTAGGGAGCGAATCTGTTCTCAGAGGATAAGCAGTAAACATGGAAACAAAAAGGTGTTAATGCACGGACCTAAAATAGATTAAATCTAGGTCCTCCAAGTGAGATGGGGAAGGATTGACAAGTTTTGTTAGGAAGATAAGGCATGAAACACATAAATTCTGAGCTTCCACTTCAAAAAAAAAATAAAAAATGTTTCCAGCTTGGTAAAAATAAACATATACTTGTGTTTATGTAGAAGGTCTTTTTTATGTAAATAGCTGTTTAAAAAAATAACACCGAAGCATTTTTGTTTGTATAACATGAAGAAAAAATGGTATTGACCTACTGACACTTAAAAATTGTGACCTGTTTGTGTACAAGTCTCTACTATTTTTTTTTTTTTTTTCCCCCCTCTATTTAAGGCAGGCTTCCTCCTATGACATCCTTGATGAGGAAATGGACTGTCATGTCTCTTGATGATAAACATGGTGAAAATGGCTGTTCCACAAATGCTATTTTAAGCCATAGTTAAGCACGGTGGTTGCATGCAGTTTTTTTGGAGCCAAAGTTACTGAGCTGGTAGCTGAATGGCGGTTGATAATGTAGCTTTGGTTTCAGGATGAAATTATGAATCTTCATTCTGAATATTTACTCTCAATATCTAGATTTTTAATTTTTTTATGTAATAAAAATAGTGTAGATACACATGGACTAAGTATATTTCAAGATTTCACTGCCACTGTAGCTGAAGGAGTGACAGAGAAGATAAGGAGTATGGTGGAGGGAGTATTTCTGTCTACTGTTTACTCCAAATTATATATTCAGAAAATAATCTGTGAAAATTCTTTGTGAAAAATGGAAGAGAAATATGGAGAAGCGGGGCTCTTTAGTTCATCTGAGAGTTGAATATCAGAGAATTGCATAGGGTCACTGAACTCAGTGACAAAGTCAAGGAAAATTTAATGAGTAATCAGTGTTTAGAAACACACTGATGTTTGTCTTGTACAAATATTTTAATATTCTCAACTCCTCTGTCCATATCACTGCAAGTTTTGAAATGTTGGTGTGAGGGTCAAGGGGAGGCTACATAGCAGACAGCATGAATTACTCCTGGAAGTTTGAGGCCTAAGCACTCTCTAATGCCTGAAAACTGTTTGAAAAGTGTGTTCTTAGAATTTTTGTTGGTTTAGGTTTGAGATAGAATCCATTTGAAAAGAAAGCTAATGTATTTATACCTTCTGCTGCAATGAAATACTGCAGGAGGTCTGTATATCCTTTCACGGACATTGCTGCTGAAGCTATGGGACTGCTGAAGGGGAAGGAGCTGCTGCTTGTTGGGTGGATCTTTTGTTTGCGGTGTTAGTCGTCTAGTGTTGTGAGTTTGAGTAATATGCCGCATGGTCTATAGTCTTAGGGGTTTTTCAGTGGTTGATTTTGAAATTTAACATCTTTGCTTCATTATTTTTATATGTAAAATACACAGTTTTTCTAATGTGCCTTAGATTCTTGGTTGATGCATGAAACAAACGTGTTTTGTAAAATCCTCAGAATCCAGTAGAGCTGGGGTGGCTCAGGGCACCATGAGCCTTGGAATCTGTTTTTAAGCAGGTCAGTTGTGCTGCACAGCCAGGAGATGAAAGGGTTGTGATGGCAGTCATTAGAATGATATACTTCATTCTTAGTTTAAGTGTCTTGACTGGGACCACTTTCAACTATATGGAACTTGCATTTTGTTTTTTTGTTTTCTTAGTTGCTTGTTGGTCTTTGAAATATTTTAATTGGAAAGGAAAGGAGAATGAGGCTGCTTGGTTTTGAATACAGAGACAGTAAGATCCGTGAGAATCTTTTATTTTTGAACTGATACAAATGTTTTACAAATGTTATGCACAAATTTGGAAAATAAGAGAACTCATTAAGAACTCGGATAACTGAAATGGTCAGAAGAGTCACCACTGGTGCATCTTTCTGTCATCTTCATAGTCTCTAAATTGCAAATAGATTGGTGATGAATAGTCAAAGGAATATTATTTGGTCTCTGGTTCAAAATATTATCAGAATACTTTCAAATTCTATGCAATGTCTTACAGAGATTTAGATGAGAATGTCTTACAGAGATTTAGATGGATAATTAATATATATGTGTAGAGAAAAATACATGTGAAATATGAAATAATGTACAGAGTACATTGTGTGAACTGATTAAAGCTTTAGAATAACTGCTACTTGGGTACAAGTCAACAGATAATTCTGGTCTAAGGTTGCCATGGAAACAACCAGTGCTTAATATAATTGAGAACATCTTAAAACCTCCTGGTATTTGCATGCTTTTTTCCCCCTGCCATTTTGAGTTGCTTTAGACATGAATAGGTAGCATTGGTCAGAACAGAAGTAGTTAATGAGCAAAACCAAATACCCGTGTCCTGAATATTGATTTTTGGTTTACTACTGGTGTCTTGTGCTTCATAGTTTTTTTGCATTGCAAGGAGCTGATAACGAAAAACAGCTCTCGGGATTCTGTGTGCTCTCTCTTTCCACTTAGTGTGTAAGTGCATTTAGAGATTGAAGCGCTGATTTGGTAGATATTAACGTACTTCATCAACTGTTGGATTAATATTAGGAGCAATATGTTTCTGAAAACCAGCTTTTCAGCATGAATGGTAAGTCTTTTCTGTTACCTTTGACACTGGTTTTTGTTCCATCTTCACAAGCAGGAAAAATCTACTGGCTTTCCCTTTCTTGTCTGCATAGCTGCATTGACTACTGATCTCTTTGTTTTTGTAATCGACTCACTGTGGGTTTCTATTAAAAATTACTAGTCTTAAAGATTTGTAGTTTTTTTTAAACGGTTTGATATACGTAGCTGGTGTTTAGTATTTGAAATTTTATTTAAAAGCTTTCTTTTAGAAAGAAATGTTACAAATTAAGGTACAGAATCTGATTTGGAAAAATTTGTGATTATATACATGTGGGTTTTCTTAATTTTCTGTGCCACTCATAATAAATTATCTTATGTGAATTGATACAAATCAAAGATGCCTCCTGAAATTATTCTATTTGTCACATAAAAAAACGGCTTTTGTTGTTTTTCATCTGAGCCAGCTTATTCTATCTTTTTATTCTTTGTAAATGACAGGATAAGGGAATAACTCAGGTCATTCATGGAAGTAGGTGAGGGGAGTCTGATTTGAAATGAGATACTATAATAGATCCAGTAAACTTATCAGGCAGATAACTGCTTTCCAAAACCACTGTGACTACTTATTATGAGGTACTTGGAATTCAATGGGATTATGAAGTACTGTATTCTTACTTGAAATATTATTTGAAGTTGTATCCAAATATATAAACTCTGTGCATTTATTTCCGTAGAAACAAATATCCTTTGAAAATTGTGAAAAGTCCAAATATGCCTTTTTGTTTCAAGCAGATAGTCTGCAGCTTTTGAAAATGACTTGAGATGGTTAGAGATTGCTGGGGGGGAGGAGGGGGAAACCACGAAACCAAACAGTTAATGCTGTATATGGGGTCTGTGTGTATGTCTCTCTCTGTGGTTTTGCTTTATCCTACAAATGTAAAAGACTATTTTTACCAAGGTTTCACTTCTGTACATGGCATGAGATAAAGTGGGAGGAGTCATCCCAGTGCCTTATCTAATACCAGCTTATATATCATCTTACTTCTGACTTATCATACTTGATATATCATCTTCTATATGACTTATCTCATACAAATGTGTTGAAGTCATCTTCCCCAAGATGAAAAGCGTGGCTGTCATTTCCTCAGTGTACAAAGCACAATACACACGTCAAAACCCGTACCACTATAGGACAAGGCTTCAGAACTTTGTATGTACATTATGGAGATTTATATTACAGCATCATGGCCGTTCAAGTAAATGTGAAGGTGGGCTGTCCCTGAAAGGTGGCCCAGCCTTCCTTGTGTGCTCCACACAACTCTGCAGTGCTGGTGGCCAAAGGGACCCTGAGCCTCCCTGCCAACCCCTGCCCCTGCTCAGCCTCTCGGGAAGGTGAGGGTGAACCTACAGTCAGGCTGTGCTTCCTCAGTGTCACGTGGCCACCTTCATCTGTTGATGGAGAGGTCTTCTACTGAGTCAGAAAGTCTGCTTTT